TGATATTCATTTTTGCTAAACCCTGTGATCAATCCTGTTTCATCTCACCTGATCAGCAGCATTTGACACAACTATCTCCCCCTCTTCCCAGAAACATTTGATTCACCTGGCATCCAACACACCACTCACCTTGTTGTGTTCTTCCCATCTCACTTCTTATGTCTAAAATGATCCTCCTGATCTTTCCACATCCCCCTAACTGCTCCACTTGTATTCCTTCCCATTTCTGTTAATGACAATTCCATCCTACTAGTTGCTCGGAATCAAAATCTAGAGGTCATATTTGACTCATCTCATTCTCTCATGCTCCACTGCAGCCAGACAGTGGACCTGTTGGCTCTATCTTCCACATAGCTTCAGGTGCTAATCACATTATACCATTGTCACTGCTACCACCCTATTGCAAGCCACCACTCACCACAAGTGGATTAATATGATACCTCCTGATTTTCCTGCTTCCACTGTTGCTCCTTTTGCTCTCCACCCAACAGTCAGAGTGACCCTGTTAAGTGAGGTTAGCATATCAAGTCTTTGCTTAAAACACTCTAATAGATTCCTGTCTCAAATTAAGAAGCCAAAATCAGCACAAAATCTTCATATATGATATCCCTGCCCTCTCCCCTGGTCCCTGCATCTTCTAAACTTTCTTCTTACTCACTGCTTCAGCTACAGTAGCTTTCTTGCTATTCCTGGAAAAAGCCAGAGATACTTGGGTCTTTTCAATGGCTCTCCCTATGTCTGGAGTGCCTTATCCTAGATACCCACCTGACTCCCTCCCTCCCCTTCTTTGTTTTTTTACTCAAATATCACCTTCCCTCACCACTTTCTACACTCCTACCTGCTAAATCCCCATCTCTTCCCCTGCTTTTTCACTAGTATATACTATATAATTTTACTTATTTTATTGTCTATCTCTTTACAATGTAAACTCCATGAAGTCTGGGATTTTTGTATTATTTTTTACTGACATAGTCCCAGTGCTGGCATGTAGTAGCAGTTCAATAAAATTTTGTTGAATAAAGAATTATGTTTAATGCATACATACAAAGGGCAAATGGAATACAAATCTCTTTTGAAATTCCTAAAATGTAATTTGATAACACATATCAGAAGTCTTAAATATATACTTAATAATTTCACTCCTAGAAATTTATCAATGCAGGATTTCCCTAACTAATATAAAGGAAACGTTGCTCTAGCATATTAATAGGCATTTGGAAAACAAAGAAAATTATTAAAAAAAAAAATCTCTTAGCCTCCTACGGTTTTCAGACTTTGTTGCACATTGTCATTACTTAAGGAGTTTTAAAATATGTTGATGACCGAGTCCCACCTTGGGAGACATTGATTTAATTGTTTTGGACTGGTTGTCTCTCTTTTTGTGATTATTAGCAGCCTTTGGTGAAGTTACTGAGATCCATTAGTTCATTAGGGGCTCCAGGTGGTAATCTTGTTAACATCTCTGGGCTTGCATTTTTTTGTACACAATGTGAAAGGGTTAGCGTACATTACTTGTAAGCATCCTTAGAACTGGGATATGCTATGCTCCTATGGGTAATACTCTTAATTAGGGATTTGTTTGAAAGCATTTACTGTTTCTTCCTGGTGATTTACTGGCATATGTTTGTGTGCATGTATATAAGCTTGATAATGCTCCAAAATAAGAAAAGGTATCCATCTTTATTATAAAGAAACCACAATAGTAAGTCAGAATTCTAAAAAGAGATACCAAGCCTTCTACTCCAACATGTCAGGCATGATATTAATCTCCTATACATACTGTCACAAACTCCCTGTAGGGCCTGTTAAGGAACAGGGCTCTGCAACTGGGCCAGCTGGGTTTTTCAAAACTGTTATTTATTTATTCATTTTATTAATAGGACAAGGGGAAACATCAGAAAACAGTAGCAAGCAGCTCTTTTTGAAGCATCTTGGCACTGTATGTTGTCCCGTCAGTCTTCAGTTTGTTTATTTTCTAATAATATTGTTTCTTAACCTGAATAAACAAAAAATCCAGGTAGCTATTTGAGGTATGATACATTTGAAAAGCCTTTTGGAACACAGAAGCCAAAGTTGTTCACTCTATCATTAAATGTCATTAAAAAGATGCTGGGCACAGTGGCTCATGCCTGTAATACCAGAACTTTGGGAGTCCAAGGCAGGAGGATTGCTTGAGCCCAGGAGTTTGAGACTACCCTGGGCAACATGGCGAGACCTGGTCTCTACTAAAAAATAAAAAATAAAAAATAAAAACAATCAGCCGGGTGTGGTGGCATGTGCCTGCAGTCTCAGCTATATGGGAGGCTGAGGCAGGAAGACTGCTTGAGCCTGGGAAATCGAGGCTGTAGTGAATTGTGATTGCACCTCTGCATTCCAGCCTGGGTGACAACAAGACCCTGTCTCAAATAATAACAATAATAATAAAGATAATGTAGCTGGGTTGAATTAACCCATTTAGGGATGCATTTCTTCCCAAGGGAAACTACAGATTTATTCCTCACAAGTAGATTTCACAATCCCCACACAATCAGATTTGGGGGATCAGATAACATGTTCACTGCACTTATCACTGTGAATTAGAAAGCCTTTGAAAAATCCAGTTACCCATTTAGATAAACAAAGTTATGTACTTTTTAGGGCAAATAACCTGTTTTGTAGAAAAAGTTATTACATGTAACAGGCAGTTATTTTGAAATGCAAGCTCCACAACTTATTATAAAATGAGATCAATTACTTCACATAAGTAACACATCAAAAAGTGTACATCAGATCAAGCCTGGTGGCTCATGCCTGTAATCCCAGCACTTTGGGAGACTGAGATGGGAGGACTGCATGAGCCCAGGAGTTTGAGACCAGCCTGGGCAACACAGTGTGATTCCATCTCTACACAAAATAAAACAATTAGCTAAGGCGTGGTAGTGCACACCTGTAGTTCCAGCTACTTGGGAGGCTGAACCTGGAGGATCGCTTTAGCAGAGGAGTTCCAGATTACAGTGAGCTATGGTGCAGCCACTGCCTCCAGTCTGGGTGGGTGAAAGAGTGAGACCTTGTCTCTAAAACAAAAACAAAACCCAAAAAAGTGTAAAGTCCTTATAAGTGTAAAACGCCTGGCCCATAGCAAATGCTCAGTGTATTAGCATTTATCACTATATGAATGATTTATGTGGTTATTGCTGCAATCATTACTAAACATTACTTCTGAGTCTTTTGGTTAAATTGTTTTAGGAAAATTAAGAAAAGACCATTGGTTTTTTTTTTTTTTTTTTTTTTGAGTTGCCAATTATGTTACAAAGTGGATTATATCTGTATGGTGAGTGAGCACACTGTGGTTCTTGTCAATTTTAAAAATTGTTAAGTTTCACTATACAAGATATTTAGAATCAAACAGTACTTGATACAAACAACTGTTTCATTGATGTTGTAATAGTTTTAAATAGATGGATAGTGCAAACAAAGTGAAAATAATTTTGGTAATTCCAGAAACCAAAACCTGTGAGTGAGCGTGGGTACTGAGCGCTGGGTAAAATTTACAACAAAACCTTTATCAATGGGGACCCAGATAACAGAACCTTCCATGTGCAGGATCCTAATGGATGCCTTTCTGTATTATAGTGGATCTCAGCAAGCATCTTTACACTAAAACGTGGTGTTGAGGTTATGGGCATAAAGTGGAAGAGTCCATTATCTCAGAGTAAGCTTATGTTTAGGCTGTGAAAAATGGAGGCTTGAAGAACAACAGCCTTAGAGAAAAGAAGACCGTGAAGTAATCTTGTGAATGTATTAAAGAATGAGTAATACAATCATTATGACCTAAATGAGTAGAATGAGTGGCAGATCTATTTCACTGAATGGTAATATAAGATACCTGCATAGCAATAATTGTTCTTCTTGACCTCTCCTTTTTCTTTTTATTAACCACACCTTTGGGAGTGATTTAGCGGTAGCTGAAACCAACTAGCCTGGGCCGAAGGGTTTCTGTATTGTCCAGAACATCTTGTTTTTCAAGGCTGCCTTTCGTTTTGGTTAATGAGAAAGCATATGGTTGCCATTTCCTTTCTGAGAACTGCTGAGTTGGTAGGGAAGGAAGTAGGTGTTCAGCTGAGTTCTCTCCTGTGGAGGAAGGGAAGGGCGGAGCCACAGCTTGGAGCACCAACTTCTGCTTTTGTGGGGCTTGATTTTCTGCTTCTGATTCCTTTTTATAAAATGTCCATACAGTTAGTCTGAATAGCCCAACCTAATCCCTTTTCTGGGGGCAAATGATTGAGAGTTGAGTGGCAAACTTCCTTTATCCAAACTCTTGGCCATAACTCTTAACATTCTTAATTGGTTTCCTGTCTATTCTTAATCTCTTGAAGATCTTGTCAAACCTTAAAAAAAAAAAAAAAAAAAGAAAAGAAAAGAGCTCTGCCTTAAATATTGCTTCTGTGAGAATATTTTGCCTGTGTAAGAAAATACAGCTTTGAGTACAATCCAATTGAAGTGTCAAGTCCTGCCAGATAACCATGGTAGAATCAGACCTTCTGATCTGGATTGGGATTGAGGTTGGACACTGGTTCTGCCATTAACTGGCATGTTTCATCATTTGTTTTATTTGATGTTGAAATCATGCTTATAATTTTATTTTACACCACTTTCCAGTATGACATCAGTGTCTTTGGCACCTTGGGCTTTATTAGTTCATGAAATGGAAGCTTCTGTTTCCTTAAAAATGCCTAGACTCTCTTGCTAACGTTGTGACAATTTTTGCAACTCTTTCTAGGGCTATAATATCTATGCTGCTTGTGTGCAAATATTTGGGAAGTGGTGGTTGATCTAAAAATACTCATAAAAATAGGGAAAAAATTAAGGCTTCTGACACTTTTCCCAACATTTCTGCTACGACCACCAAGAGTTAACTAGATGATTCTTTAATGCCCCACTACTTTATCCTGCTATTTTATTTCTTCAGTCTGTTTTTGACTCTTATAATTACACCACTGCAAGCTAAGTCTATACATTACCTTTAGGCTGGAGAGCTCTGGGGTCAAGATTTACTAGATTCAAAACCCAGTTCAGCCATTCTCTAGCTATTTGGTCTCTGGTAAGTTCCATCGCCTGTAAAACGGGGATTAAAAAGGGGAAAATACCGAGTATGTACTATTTGCTAGGCACTAGTTGGACAATTTATGATCCATTTAATCAACCTTCTGCGAGGCAGGGATCCCCATTTTATTATGGTTAAAAAGCTGTAATAAAAGCCAATTGACCTAAAGGTCTCACAAGTAAATAACTGGAGCCCAGGTTTGTCTCTAAAGCACATGCTCTTTAGAACTACGCGACATAAAGAAAACTTTATTGATTTTTCCCCCAGATTATGTTTCAAGGGTTCCCACTGCTGTTGAATAATTAATTCCTTTTAGATGTACAAAAACAAGTGCAAAGTAAAAGAAGAAAGGCAAAATGGGGAAGGTGTGTAATATGAGAGGCAGGGCGTAAGGAAAGATGAGAAGTCTACAAAGGAATTTACGTGTCTATTTGCTTAGTATTACACAGTGGAAGGCCACGTTCGACATTTGTGTTGCAGTCCTGCCTGCTCAGGGGCTGCTGGGTGACCTTCTGCAAATTACCTCACCTTTCTGGGTTTCAATTTAAGTATGCCTGAAATGAGGCGGTTGAATTGATCCCCAAATTCCCTTCTGGTGCTAAACTTCCAGCCTGGTAGCCACTGACCTTATCACCATGCCAGCGTGTTTTCCCTTGGTCCCGGACCAGCCGCCCTTGCCCGAACTCTGTTCTTACTCGACTGCGAACTATCTAACGTACTCACAGGTTCTAAACTCCACCGTTCCTCGTGACCGAGGGACTAAAGGGCCCGGGTAGGGGCTCAACTCTGAGAGAAAAAAGGCAAGAAAACCCCAAAGTCGGACAGTGAGTGGCAGAAGACCTCAGCACGAAAGCGAGGCGGCACAGAACTGCCACTCCGCCGCAACAGCTGAAGTGGGCGGAGAGCGGGCGGGCGGGGGAGGCGGGGCCGAGAGCGATTGGAAGGACGAGGGGGCGGAGCCCGCGCTGACAGCCCCCGGAGAGGAGCGAGGGAAGCTCTGCGGGCAGCGGCGGCTGGGTCCCGCCTCTTCGCTTCCCCTCCCCCGCACCAGGCGGGCGTGGCAGCAGGCGTGCCGACGCAGCGTGACGTCACAAAGGGGCGGGGCGGGCCGAGGGTCCTGCCGGCGCGCGGGCGTGTTCATCAGTCGCTGTTTGGGACGCTGGGCGTGCGGTGTTCTGTCTCCGCTCCCGTTTCGCTGTCACAACCCGTTCCTTCCCGGAGCCCGGGACAGGCTGGGCGCGCGCCCGTGTGAGTGAGCGGGACTCAGGGCAGAAGTGTCCCCTCACTGCGTTTTTTTTTTCCTTTTATCCAAAGAACGGGGCAGTTAGCACGCTTGCCGTCCTGTCGCCCGGTTGGGAGCGGGGTTGGTTTGCGGAGTGGTTCGCCTTTTTTCTTTAGAACTTGTGAGCCCTTTTTTTCTTTTTCTTTTTTTAGGCTCAGTGCTGTCCGGGCTGGTTTCCCCGGTCCCTGACTAACCGCTTTCTGCCCCTTCTGTCGCCACCCCTGCCCAAGGTCGCCCCTCTGCCCTCGCCCCTGTCCCGGGAGGGTGGGAAGCTTTGACCCCGCCCTGCCCACTCGCGTCTCCGCAGCCGTAGCCGCACCTGCCCCAATATGAATAGGGTCAACGACCCACTTATTTTTATAAGAGATATTAAGCCCGGACTGAAAAACTTAAATGTCGTCTTTATTGTCCTGGAGATAGGTAAGTGGGGTTTGCAGCCCACTCCACCGCCCGCTGTGCGTCCCGGGGCGGGAGACAGGGGCGCCGCCGCTGCGCGCCCGGGGCTCCCCTCCCCCTCCTTCCCCTCCCCCACCCACGTGGCTCCAGTGGCCTCCGCCGGAGATCGGATCCTACCTGAGGCGGGAGCCCTGGGCTTGGTCACTTTCCACCTTCCAGATGTATTAAAATACCGGAGGAGGAGTTAGCCTTTCTGGATGTCCTCATTATCTAACACCCCCTCCCTTTGATTTTTAAATCCTCACAGGACGCGTGACCAAAACCAAAGACGGCCATGAAGTGAGATCGTGCAAAGTAGCAGATAAAACGGGCAGCATCACTATTTCCGTGTGGGATGAGATCGGAGGTCTTATACAGCCAGGGGATATTATTCGGTTGACCAGAGGGTAGGTGTGCAAAAAAGTCGGGGAAGTAACAGTCTGCAGAATCGGGATTGGCCGGCTCCCGGGATCTTGGCAAGACCTGAAGTCCCCGGCCTTTTCTGTGGGCCACTCTGAGGAGTTTTGAGCCCCTTTGGTGTTAACTTTGGATGGTGGGCAGCGCTAGGATGTAACACACCTTTGCGGTGAAAGGCAGTCGGTTTCAGCTGGGAAATCCGCGCCTACACCCCGGTTTACAGGTTAAGCAGATTTTTAAATTTTTTTTTTTCTTGAGACGGAGTCTCGCTCTTTCGCCAGGCTGGAGTGCAGTGGCGCTCTCTCTCCTCGCTGCAGCCTCTGTCTCCCGGGTTCAAGCAACAGATTCTCGTGCCTCAGCCTCCTAAGTAGCTGGGACTACAGGCGTGTGCCACCACGCCCAGCTAAGTTTTGTATTTTTAGTAGAGATGGGGTTTCAGCGTGTTGCCCAGGCTGGTCTCCAACTCCTGACCTCAGGTGATCCGCCCGCCCCCACCTTCCAAAGTGCTGGGATTACAGGCGTGAGCCACCACGCCCGGCATAGATTTTTAATTCTATTCAGAGTCAATGAGTCTTTTTAGGAGACTGATATAGTCCATATTTTTTCTTTTTTATAAGTTGTTTTCTTTAGTATAGTTGCCACTCAGTTGTTTCCCACCCCTCCTCCATTTTTAATGACTTGAAATCCTGGCCAATATTTTACTTATGTTATTTAGACAATGTGGACATAAACTTATAGGTAAAGGATTTAGCGTTTTCTGTGATATGTCAAATTTGTACTTGGAAAAAGAGGGAAACTTTACAGTATCTGGAAGGCTGATTCTCCAAAATGATTTCTTGTGTCTTCTGTTGTAAGGTGGATGTTGTTCAAAAACCAAAGGGATACACAGAAAATGTTTGACAGAAAGACATCCGCAATACCTTCATCCAAAAGAGTCAATTGGCAGATTGGTGGCTTTAAAAAATAGTACAACTTTTTTTTAAAAAAGTAGATTGCTTGTAGAGATTTACCAAATTTTTATCTTAGGAAGATAAAAGGTCAGAAAAGGATCTTGGAAACAGAATTTGGAAGCTTTTGAGATCAATAAAATTGTAATAATTTATCATAACTGCAGGGAAAGTGGTGGAGATTGATGTTGGCCTAATAAGTAGAATCTTAGAAGTATTGGAAAGCACTGAGTAGGAGTTTAGAGCTCCTTGATGTTACCTTACAGGCTTACAACATCTTCAGGAAGTGAGGTAAAGTGTCATCAAAGCAGGAAGTGAGAGTCAGGACTTAGACATTTTCTTCTCATAACACTGACTCATGACAGTAACTATGTTTTTTAAACTTCCACATCTTTAAAAAACAAAAGAGAATTCCTACTTAGGGATGTATGGTGAGGATTGATTAGTATAATTGGAGTTTTTGGCTCCCCAAATATTTTTCACCCAATGATTGAAAGTATTTTTTATGCTAAAAACAGCATCTTATTTCAAGTATTTCATGTTCTGTAGTGACAGTCATAGGTGTTTCCATCAAAAAAATTATTGGAAAATTAAACTTATTAGTTAGGTATCTATAGAATTTTAAGGGGAACAGTTACCTGGGAGTACAATTTAAACGAAAATTAAAAACTAAAGAAACTCTTTACTACAGTATGACCTTGAGAAGTTACTACACCTCATACTTCAGCTTCCTCTTCTGTGAAATGGGAATAATTATACTTTATTTACCAAAATAACACACTCAGCTTGGAGTTTGGCCCATTCTAAGGCCCTTAAATTCTGGTTGAATCTAAGAAAAATGGCTTTTGAAGAAAAACATACCTAAAATCTAAATAATGGTTGGTTCAAATATCAACATGTTTATCAGAATATCCTGAAAACACCTCAGTGTTCTCATTTCTTAAAGTGAATGTTAAATATTTTAATTGTAACCAAATTTTTTCTCAAAATATGCATTAATTTTTATTTTAGTAAGGTGAAATGTTAATGCACTATCTCCTAAGCCACACTTTGTATAACTTAAGAGTGGTGAATGGTGTCTTTAATAAATAACCCTTATTAAAATTAAGAGAACTGTATAATAAGTTAAAGTCAAGAAGTAACCATAGTAGTTGTACAAAGAACCATTGAGAACCAAACCTTGGATTGATTTTATAATATTAATTTACCGTTTCTCTATCTAGGATTATTTTATTTAACGATGCTGTCTACTTTCAAAATTGTTCGGAGTAAACAATTGCCAGCTCGTTTACTACAAACCCAGTGTGGTATTAAAAATTGCATGTTTGGAAAGGCAGATAGGTGAAAGATTTGTGACCTTAGTTTTTTTTTTTTAGCACTTTAAAATTCTACCAGATCTTCGGTAGCTTAGAAATCCTGTGTCTTTTATGGAGGCAGAAGGAAAAACATATCATTATTTGACTAGACTGTAAAGGAAACATTAGGGTGATTTTACATATCCTGTGGCTGAAAAATAGTTTCTGTTTAAATGTCTGCAATTAAAAGCTTTTCTTTTGTTGATTGACTAAAGATGTGATCATCAGGTATAATAATGCTTGCTTTGCAAAAAGACTTATTTTCCAGGGTTTGTTATGATTTATATAATTATGTCAAAATTCAACAGAATTTTTGTATTCTTTTGTAAATAGCAAGTTATCAAAGTTAGATTTATTGTATTTGATTTACTATGGTGGATAGAGAGGGCTTGATCCTCACTTCTACCTTAATACAAAAAATATATAGTGTGACGATTTACTTGATTTAAATAGAAGAAAATAAATATATTTCTAAAGAAATAATGTTTCTTTTCTCTCTAGGTATGCATCCATGTGGAAAGGATGTCTGACACTTTATACTGGAAGGGGTGGTGAACTTCAAAAAATTGGGGAGTAAGTATTAAAATACATTTTGTATAATTGCATACATTATAAATAATATCTACGGAATAATTGGTAGGTATGAACTGTAAACCTTTTCTTTGGCTTTTTTGACTAGTAAACTGAGTGTCTTTGGTAGCTTAATTGAAAAAATAACTTCGTGTGTACAAATGTAACACTTGTCAGTACTGTTTTGTGTGGTTGAAAGTGTCAGTTTTTCCTGGCAAAGAGCGGTAGAAGAAGCTGCAGTTGAGACCAGCCTTAGTGGGAGCATTTCTGTAGGTTTTAGAAACGTTCATTTTTTAGGTGTCACAAGTGCCATTTGAAGTAAATTCTCTCTTATAGTGATTCACCAAATACGAAGCTAGTGATTCACCAAGTTTCAGGCCATACGTTTAAATTTTCTTTTTCTATGGTTGTGAGTGAATATGTACTCATGTTAAAAGGACTTGCAGCAATGAAAACTGAAGTCCTCTATTTATCCACAGTCTAGGTGCGGTGCAGGCAGCCGCAATGCGAGATTCCATACACTACTACCCTGGTAATGATCTCCACCCTGACCTGGAGGAGCCATCCTCTCTAGGGGTGTAAGGTAATTCAGCCTCCATGTTAGCCTAGACATTGGGTTGTATTCATAAAGTATGGTATAGGCAGTGAGCCAAATCATCAGTCCATTCTGTTTGGTTAATGCTCAGCCATCTACTTAATGCCTGTCAAATTGGAAGATATTTAAAGAGAGAAGCCACAAATGGCACCAAATAAAAAAAGGAAAACTGTTCTCCACTGAGGGAATAAGATACTTATTTGGAGAACCTGTGGTTAATAATGAAGGAAAAGAAATGATCATGCTAGCTTTTAAAGATCAGAAATGTTTAACACTTTGCCTTTGTTAGAAGGAAAGTTAGAATTCACTTAGGGTAGTATTCATAGAGTTATATGTTATGAAAGGTCTTAGTGTCTATTACTGAAAGGTTCAGGATTCTGTCCTGACAGAGGTGTTGATAATAATGGGGGTCAGTTATGTGAAAAACCATTAGAGGTCACTCATTTCTTAATGACTGCACTTTGTCAGGGTCGGTCTAGGATTTACCAAAACTGGTTCTGATTTGTCTTCGGTATGGTGAGGAGCTAATAAAATGCTTCTGTGTAATGTTAGTACACATTATATGGTCAACTTACAGGAAGCACTTAGGTAAACTGGTGGCTATGTAGCCTGTTTTTATTTATTGCCAGAAACCACTCTTAATCCTAAATGATTATCTTTGCAGATCCACAGTGATCGATCAAAAGAGGGACTGAATGGGAGTGGGTGAATGGATCGGTGCAAATCCATTACCACTGCTGGAGAAACCACCCTGGAACCCTAAACATGGTTCACTCTCATGTTATTTTTCCTTTGATCAGCTTTTGTGGAGAAACAGGACAGAGTTGTTTTTGTGTCCTTGATTTTTGATGTGATTTATTTTTTCCAGCACTAAAGAAGAATTTAAATACAAAATAGAATGTTATGTATCTTGTAGACAGTCAAATATTTGATGTTTTATGGGACATAATCATTTGGGAAGTTTTTGTTGTAAATGAAGAGATAGTTTGTTGCTATTAATTTGACACATAAGCTCATTCCTAAAAGTTAGAGATGTTATATAAAGAAGGGTTGATGACTTTATTTCAGAAGTCATTTAATTTGTTCTTTATTTTCTTTCAGATTTTGTATGGTTTATTCAGAAGTGCCAAATTTCAGTGAACCCAACCCAGATTATCGAGGACAGCAGAACAAAGGGGTAATTGTGTAGTATACTTTTATGATTAGGCTAATTTTGACTGTGTTACAATTCTATGACTAGGTTAGCCCTGTTGATACTCAGTATAATGAGAATTTTTAAAAGAATACGTAATTTTTATTGTTTTGTGAGGATGTATATCTGAGGTGTCATCTACTAGATATATGTGCCATTTTGCACTTCGTGGTATGGTGACTAATTATCAGGAAATAGGATATAACAGAGCTCTGAAAGGTTTGGGAAACATTTCTTAACATTTTAACCTTGAATGACCTAGGCAAAATCTTTTAAAATTTTAATTTAAAAAAAAAATACCCAAAACTTTGAAAAAGAAAGGATATAGTAATGTTGTAATAATATAATTGTGTTTTTATTCTCATTTGGTTAAATTAAAAACTTTTTTTTAGGCACAGAGTGAACAGAAGAATAATTCCACGAATAATAATATGGGTACAGGTACATTTGGACCAGTGGGTAAGATTTTGTTTGTGTGTTTCATTTGTGATCAGGTGTAAGAATTAAGAGAGTTATAAAGATTTAGATGAAAAGCAATGTCTTTAGGCATAAATTAGTGATAAAGATGAACTGCCAGTAAACAGGGAATCCCCAATCAGCTGATTCTCTAGAAAGTCGATAAACTTAAGCCAATTTATTGAGAATTCTAGGTTTTGGTGATATCTGTGAAGAGATACCATGCTTTTTAAAAAATTGATTCCTATAAAATTTCTGTAATCTAGTGATTACTTATAGTAGACACAGAATTACTGGTTATTTTGGTGCACTGAAAGCATTTTATCTTTAGAGTCATAGTTTACCTTAATTTTTCATGTACAAGGAGCTGCTGCTTTAAAAGATGAGCTGAGCCGTTTAAAGGCTAATGACCCTCAAATGTCATTTAACGTGACCCCCAGACATCATGTTTATGATCCTTATAGCCCTGTTAAAGGTCTTCTGAAGTCTTAAATATATGAGGAAAGGTCAGTCTTTTGTGATTGGAGTTCATTAGGATGGCTTAAGTTTTGGTTTTGTTTTGTTTTTGAGACAGGGTCTCACTCTGTTGTCCAGACTGCAGTGTAGTGGTGTGATCTTGGCTCACCGCAACCTCCACCTCCCAGACTGAAATGATTCTCCTGCCTCAGCCTCCCAAGTAGCTGGGATTGCAGACGTGCGCCACTACCACCCAGCTAATTTTTGTATTTTTAATAAAGATGGGATTTCACCATATGGGCCAGGCTAGGCTTGAACTCCCGACCTCAAATGATCCACCTGCCTCAGCCTCCCAAAGTGCTGGGATTACAGGTGTGAGCCACTGAGCCTGTCCAGCTCATGTTTTAACTTGAAGGCTACATGTCTTGGCATAGCTGATCATATTGTGGGAAACTCCATCTTTGCCTTTAAAAAGTTAGAATAACATTGTCTGTTTTGAGATATTAATCATATTTGAGCCAAATTCCAATATTCACTATTTTGCCCTTTCTTTTACTTTTATAGTGTAGGCAATGCATGTTTTTTACTCTATTAATAAATTTCTAATTTTGATGCCCAAGTTGGCTTTTTTCTCTCTATTAATACAGCATCAAGTTAACGTATTTATAGCAATACGTTTGGAAAAACTTAGAGCCCACCTTGAGTGTTTTTTTTTCAGTATGAAAATGAAAGTGTGTGCTTTACCTAATATTTTTAAGCATTAATAACGTGTTGGCACTTAAGATAGTTCTACTTCTATAGACTACCTCTGAAAATAGTGATGAGTTTTTGTATTCTTTTTTAGGAAATGGTGTTTACACTGGCCCTGAATCAAGGGGACACCAGTTTTCACATGCTGGCAGAAGCAATGGCCGGGGACCTATAAATCCACAACTCCAAGGAACCGCTAGTAATCAAACAGTGATGACCACAATCAGTAATGGCAGGGACCCTCGGAGAGCCTTTAAAAGATGACCTATGCTAAATACTCACGTGTAGTTTTTATACTACATGCCCTACTTGAACACTTACTGCACTTTTATTTATTGTTAACTGTGAAAAGTATGTCCTTTATTGGGTTTCCTTTTATATTCTTGGTTTATTAAGAAGAATGGTTTGTTTTTATAGCAAAACTGTTAAGCTGCTCAAGTCTCCTGTTGAAGAATGGGAACACTGAAAAGTAGGGGCATTTATTTTTAGAGCAAAAAGATTATTGGATAGCCTCTAAAAAACCTGCACCTATTTCATGGGTGAGTTACATCAGCTTTATAGCCTCTATGAGTCTATCTTCTGTATAAGTTTTGTAATATTTAACATAAGGCTTAATGGGAGATGTTCTTTTGTCTTGTATTCAGATATTGCCAACTAAAGCAATAACTATCAAAAAACACAAGAACTTGTCAATGCTAGCAGTAATTTTTGAGTGTTTGTGGCTCTCAGAATGATTGACTTTGTTGAGTGACTACCATTGAGATTTTCCAAGGACTGACTCATCTCAAATTTTTGTTGTATTACCAGAAAAACAGATTCCTTATCAGAATTTGGAATAGAATGTAATCTATATTTCAACAAGTAATTTTAAAAGAAAGCTACATTTATTTTAGAGTAGTGCTCCTAACATGTATTATCAACTTTGTGGATTACATTGGAGGAAAATTTAAAAGTGGGGCCTTGAATATTTATTTTTTGCAACTACCATGTTAAATACTGAAGTATAATTTGAGAGAGTTATAACGTTATAATAAACATTGATCTGATTATTTAAAAAAAATTGTAAATATACTGGAGGTGAGTCAAATTGAATTATATAGTAACATGCAGTCTTAAGTCCTCGTTACTTAACAGGTACTCAGCCTGGAGTGAAAATCCTGGGTACTAACTTTGAGAGGGGTGAGTGTGCATGTTGTCAAAGTTTCTGAACACAGTTCATGTAGCCTTATTAGCAAAAGTTTTAAGAAATGGCTCTATCAAAGAAGCAATTACAGCTTTATTCAGAAATGTAAAGGTGGAATTTATGTACATGTTGTAAGTGGTACCCACTTCCCCTTTTTACTGTAGGGTGGATAAACTCTTAGGTTTAACTCTTTGAATATTATCTCTTGAATAAAGCGTGTGTTAATGTTAACAAATGTACCTAATTTTTGCTCTTTCAATGACTTACAGTGGAGAGCCAGTACATCTTAACTACTACTGTTGTAGTGATGGTATCAACCTTATGGCTACTTAGCTCTGCATTTGTTGCTTTGTTTTTTTTCCACTTCAAATCACAAAATAAGTAGATTTTGTTTTCTGAAAACTCCATAGCATTTGAATACAAAAGGTTGTGCCAGTTTATCCTACTTCAGTGTGTTTAACAAATATTTCAGTACACAGTATGTGTTAGGCACTGTGTGGAAAGTGTTAAGGGTTAGACAAAATCCCGAATAATCTCCACAAGTTTATTTGTCTTCTATAGTACTTTTTTAACTGAGATTACAAAAATTATAGAAATTTTGTTCCTTTATTCATATGCATATTCATGATTATAATTTGGCTTTGTTTGTGATTAATGTTTTCATAAGATTTTCACATTACAGAATACCTCAGAAGAAGTTGTCTAAGGATTGGGATAGAGAATATGTTTCTTAAAATTGTGGATGTTTAGAATTTTTAAAAAACAAATTAGTATATGATTGTTTTATATAAGTAAGATAGGAGCAACACTTTAAATTATTTGTAGGAGGATGTGGCATTAAAGGTGATTTTAAAAGAAAAGATTTTGGAGTTTTAGAAAATTTAATACTGTCAGGTATGGAATGCTGGGCTTCCAATCCTGGCTTCATTGTCTCGTCACCTGTGATGTTGGGTGAGTTTTATTAACACTTGAAATGTCTCTAAGCCTTAGGTTCCACAACTATGAAAACAAGTAAGTATCAGTATCCTTTCTAGACTTGTTTAAGATTTCCATGTAAGTAATTATAATGACTTGCGACACATAATAATGTCGTCTTATACCCCAACAGTAGGAAAAAAATGCAGAATTCAGTATGAAAGTATTGTTACCCTGTAATACAGTGGTCCCCAACCTTTTTGGCACCAGGGACCAGTTTCCTGGAAGACAGTTTTTCCATGGGATGGGGGGGATGGTTTTGGAATGAAACTGTTTCACTTCGGGTTATCAGTCATTAGTTAGATTCGCATAAGGAGCGTGCAACCTGAATCCGTTGCACACGCAGTTCACAATAGGGTTCATGCTCCTATGGGAATCTAATGCCACCACTAATCTGACAGGAGGCAGAGCTCGGTTAGGCTCCCTCGCCTGCCACTCAGCTCCTGCTGGGTGTTCCTGTTCCTAGCAGGCCAGAGTTGATACTGATCTAGCGGTTGTGAACCCCTGTTTAACAAGTTGAGATTAAATGGAGAAAGACCTAAGCTTTTACTTCTGTGATTGACACTTGCTTCAATAATGTAACCTTGTTCTGTGTTTTTATCATTTATTAACAGATTTCTTTTTTCTTAAGGGAAGCCTCCAAAAGCAAAGCAAAGTGAGTTACAATCCATAATGAATATTTGCCTTACCAGCCTACTGGAACACACTCATCAAGAAGTTAAGAGGAAGAAAGTTTTCTACCTTCCTCCTTCCTGGTGCTCTCAGCTATCAACTTTGAAATAAGTTTAAACAACACCTACTGAAAACAAAAACCACTCAGTATAAAAATATCCCTCACCAGAATTGGGTCCCCCATATCGTTTCTACAAAACGGTTCTGGAGTGGATCAAAGTCTCATCAGATCAGCTTGCCCCTTCTTGTTTGGGCAGGTTCTAGGAGAAGTTGCTCTAATACAGAAACTGAAAGATAAAATCCATAAAGCCAGATAATGATATTTAGTGGGGAAGGCTATAGTGTGCTTTCCCATAGGCATTTAAACACTCAGTTTTTCCTAGTGTACCAATGCTTTATACTTTGTCCCTATAGCCTTTGTAATTTTAACTTTGATGACAGTTTAACTTGAGGATAACCTGAATATGTATAGTAGTGTTTGTCATTTGTATTTTTATCATTTAACATTTTAAATGAATGTTTAATTTGCTGGGTTGAGTAATGCCAAGGGAATGATGCTAAAAACAAATAGATGTGAGGTTAGTAAAAGATTGAAGTTACAATTTATGATAGGAGAACTTCTAAAGTATAGGAAAGTAGGTAAATGGCCTTAAAAAGTTTTCTCAGAAGGTACAAGTTTTACATCAGTCTGCGGACATATAGCGCTTAACATTTCAGTTTAGTTACTGAAATGACATTTTCTGGTGTCATTAACATACTGGCTGTTTGCTCCAAGCCATTTTAGGCTGAGAATGACTCTTAAGTTCTTCTAAGTTCTTCTAATGAATTTCAAAGGGTTCTAGAAACAGCAAACTGAACATGATATGAAATAGTAACAACATGGAATGCCCCCAAATTCCTCTAACCTGAGTTTACTTGCCCTATTACTCCTTTTTTTTTTTTTTTTTTTTTTTTTTTTTTTTTTTTTTAAAGATCTGTCTCTTGTCTTTGTTTTATCCCTTACCTGATGAAAGTCTGAACATTTCTAGTGGAGAAAGAAGATCACAGTTCTCTAGTATGGGCATTAAGAGAGGGGTACAGGTAGGGATAGAGGTGAAAACCTGCCTCCACTGGGGTGATAACCAGTGTGCTGAGGTTTCAGCCAGTGATTACACTGGGTAATTAACCAGTCCCATATTTCACAAAGGAGTTGTAATGATTAACAGTTCAGGTATGCTTCTGAGGAAATCTAATTGCGACCTTTGGAAAATAGCACTGTTATGAATGGTGTGGTGTTACGCCCTGAGGGAAAAGCTAGAAAAACATTTTACTTTTCAGGTATATTTAAATTATATCCAAATGTCTCACAGTTTGCTTTACTGGGGACTGCCTGAGTTTGGAATTCAAATACTGTAACCAAATTACTCCACGTTTCTGAACTAAAATGATCTATTGATGTTTCTCAAAGTATAGATCACAGATAGGAAAAGAGGAAATCAAGTCTGGTTTATGACAAACGTTTTTCCATGTTAACATTAGACCCAAAGATGTTACTAAGGGCTTTTTACTACTGTGAGATAACCAGCATGATGTGAAGACAACGAACATTTTAAGAAGTTTGACTAGTAGATGTTTCTTTTAAGTCTTTTGGAGGGTCTTGGTCGACGACCCACAATTTTATTGTGGCTCCCCAGGATTTGAGAACATGTGGGCTTGGATGATCACTGTTGACCTATGAAAGAGCACAGGTCTCTTGAGAGTTTATTGACACAACTACTGATTACACCCCCACAATATGTCTCAACCTCTGTTGAAGGGCTATTGATATTTTTAAAAACGTTACTTCCAATCAGAAATTCAAGTAAGTTTTATGTCTTCTACTCCATCAAAATTTATGTTTCTCAGCATAGGGTAGTCTAGTTTCTTGGTTTGTATATTAAATAGATATTGAGTAAAATTCTTAATGATTTAGAAACCATCTACATGAGGCTTCCCAGGAACTTGTTAAAAGTACAGGTTGTTAAAAAGTACAGGTCTGCATTACTAGAATAACATCAGTACATTTGGGAGATCTGCACTTGAAACCCTGCGGTTGCCTGCTTCCTGCCCTTGAGATCTCCCTTTGTATTGAAATTATATATATACACACATATATATATTTTCTCAGTTTCTTTTACCTTTGTGAGGCTAATATATGCTGAAGTTTTGGATTATAAAACAAAAAATTGTACTTAAAAGAATGTGCCTCCAGAGGGCAGAATTGTTGGGTAAAGCATATAGCCCTGAGCAGAATAAGAGGTTTAGTATGGCCTCTGATTGTGGGCATTGCAAATTTTGAATAAGGTTCAAATAAAATTATCTAAATTATATATCAATGTGAGGATCAGATATTAATAGGGAGGTTACATGACTTGAGCCTATCTAGATAAAAGTAAAATGCTTTTTTTGCCCTAAGGTTTTGAAAATTTAGAGTTTATTGTTGCTCATCTCAGCAAATTCATGTTATCGGTATCCTCTGCCTTCCTCCTGTCCCTCAATTCCCTACTTTACTATATGAAAGAAGGCTGGCCAAATTGAAAAGTAGTTGAGTTGGAGACTTGATAAATACTTTTGAAAATACAGAAACCACCCTTCATCTTCCACGTAAAGATCTCCTGTTCTGTACAGAGAGGCAACTACAATGAATATTTTCTGCAAGTAACATGGAAATCATGATTTGATTGCCATGTTTTTCTAATCTTCAGTATCAAATGTTTATAGCCCTGGTAGGAAACAAACTTCTGACCTAAGTTGCTGGACTACTTGAATAAAAAGGTAGTCAGCACAGCTAGTGCCATCTACTGGGTCATTAATGCATAGTTTCTGTCTGTTAAGAAATCTGGCTTAGTTTAACACGTGGGGGAAATGGTTCTGTTCCATTGAATAGCAATTTTTGCGTGATGGTGGTGTAAGCATGATATGGAAAATCATTAAGGGGCACCTGGGCCATTTGTTTTGTTTATGAACAATCAACACTGACATTAAATTTCAGTTAAGTAGATTAAACCCTGAACTGCCCCTAAAGCTATAGAAAATATGGGAAAGGTTGCCAAGTTTTGTATTCTCATTACATCTGTCTATATTGTTGGTGAGAAGTGTAAACTGTTAAAAATGCCTTTTGGTGAGCGGTGGTTTGGTAAAAACAATTGAAGTGGAACACGACACTTCCCTTAGAAATTTCATTCCTTTACCCAATGGTATTTGGTAAAATCCTGGTCAAATGACTGCTGCTGTTGTAGTTATGTGAGCTTTGCAGAACATAAACTATTTTAAATGCCAGAATGTGCTTCCATGAAAAAGAACATGGTTTTGGGCTGAGGAGATCTTGGTTTGAGTCCTGGATCTATTTACTGGCTCCAGGACCACGAACCTCGTTATAAAATGATATTGGAGCTATGTACTTGAAGTGTTAGGAGGACTGTGTGAGCTAATGCATGCAATACCTCTGCTCCATATCTAAGGCTCAACAAATGTTAAGCCGTTTCTCCATCAGCATTGGAAATAAGATAAAATACTGTTCATTTCTCCATGCCATTATTAGAAAACAATCTGTAATTTAAAATCTGAAATATTAAGCAATTTATATGAATTATTACAATATGTTCTTTTTAAAAAAAACCAGTTTTTCCTGTCTTGTCTGGGCACAGAAAAGCACTTATGCTGACGATTTACCATCACAGCATGTAGAGTTGGGTCTTCATTACAAAGACCTGCCCACTAGCTGAGTACACTGGTGTTTTTCCATTCACCTCTGCCCAGCAGGGACAAGATGATAAAAGTACAGAGAACTTGTGGGTCCAGGTTTGTGTCAGAAAGGAGGTCAGTGGCTTGCTTAGGGCCAGGCAGAGGACACATTGGAAGGAATTCTCTGTTCCTGGTGACAGTCCTCGGGATTGCTGTGCACCCAGAGGTGCATAGTGATTTATTGGCTTCTGATAACTATAGTATTGGATGACTTCCCAACATTTTATTAAAAATTTTAAACATATAGCTATGCTGAAAGAATTTTAGCGTACATATCTATATACTCACCACCTAGATTTTGCCACTATCAGATATCTGTGCATCCTATTAATACATTTTTAATTATGTGTTTTGAGACAGAGTTTCTCACCCAGACTGGATTGCAATGGTGCAATCTCGGCTCACTGCAACCTCTGCCTCCCAGGTTGAGACGATTCTCCCACCTCAGGCTCCTGAGTAGCTGGGACTATAGGGGGGAGCCACCATGCCTGGTCAATTTTTGTATTTTTGGTAAAGGAGGGGTTTCATCATGTTGCCCCAGGCTGGCCTTGAACTCCTGGGCTCAAGTGATTCTCCGGCCTCGGCCTCCCAAAGTGCTAGGATTACAGGCATGAGTCACCATGCCCGGCCAGTCATTAATGCATTTTTAATACATTTTTAGTCAATTACAGACACCGTACAATTTTCCCTAAACATTGCAACATGCCTATTCATTAGAATTCAGTATTTTTCAGGGTGTTTTTTTTTTGGTAAAATTTACAAAGAAATATGGAAATCTAAGTTGTGCATTAGTGAGTTTTAACAAATACCTAACTAGGCTTATATCACAACCTCTATCAAGATACAGAACATGCTGTCATTCTAGAAGCCTCTCCAATGTGCCTTCCCCAGTCAATCTCTTTTTCCATGGCACCAGCAGCCATCACTCTTTCGATACTTTAGAAAACATTCTTATTTGAAAGGAAAATTTCATATGTGCCAAAGTCATCTCTAGATTTCTCCAAGTCTTATAACTCTCAACCATGCCAGAGTACAGCCAAACCTAACCCCATCATGCATCTCAAATATAGTTCTAAGATTTTGGTATTTTATTCTTTCCCTGTTTCAACTTAGCTCCAGCTCTTTTTTTTCCATCAAGATTTACACCTGTCATCCTTGACATTTGGGCAGAAACTACTGAAATGAAGGAGGACTTGCCATCCAAGGACTGGCTGAAAGGAGTTAGCACACCACTCTTCTGCCCTGAACAGCTCTAAACAAGAGAAGGAGCCTGTGGCAGGGTGCGATATGAAGTCCTCAGAGATAGAGTGCCAAGCGTAGAAGGGGGTATCCTGGAACTTCAGTGTTTGCAGTTTGGGTGCTCAGTTCTTCAGCAGATATTGATTCTCAAGCTCTGATTTTCTTAAGGTATGAGCTGGGCTGACGTGCCCTCTCAGGATTTTATACTCCTAGGTTGGCATTCAGAATCGGCATAGCCAGACAGTGTAAGTTACTTGTCAAGCAAAGACACCCCGCCCCCCGCTACAATCCCCCAACCTGAGTCTACAGGGAAGCATTCCTGAGTGAAACAGACTAAAAATATATAGTTCTTTCCCAGTCCATGTGCACGTGCACGTATGTACACAAACACATGACACATTATCACTGCCAACAGAGGTTCTCTGCATTGAACTCCACATTTCTGAGTCACATGCATATCAGGTCTTTGCTTTTCCTTCTCATCAATTGTTTAACGATCCTCTGCTTCCACTTCTTTAATGGGCTGCTATACTTTGTTGAACACTATATGCCAAGTACTATGCTAGTGAGTTACCTACGAATGACCCTGAGAGGGAGGTTTTGTTATCCCCATGAGAAGGATTGAGTAGTTTGCATGAGATCACGGTGACTGAGTTCAACACACCAAAGCCTATACTGTTATGACTGAACAGTAGTGAAACGTTGTGGCTGCTGCTGACCCTGGATGGTGCTTCATAGAGGAGATAGAATTGGAGTTAGTTTTGAAAGGAAGTGTATGCAGAGGCGAAATGGAAAACAAAATATGGAATTTTACTAATTTACATTTTTACCTGAGATTAGTCATACTTTAAATGTCAACATATGACAGACCCAATTAGTCAAATTTAAATCGACAGAAGTAGTATCAGATCAACAGGGAAAATATGGAGTCTTGGATATTGGGAAAACTGGATACTCTCCCTAACCCCCACACAAACAGTAAAAAACCATGGGTGAGTTCTATTAAGAATGGAGAAAATTTTCTAAAAATGGCTCAAAGTTCAGAGGCATTAAATGAAAGATTGATCAATTTGACTACAATTACATGTTAAAAAATAAAATGACAACTGGGAAAAATATGTGTAATATCACAAAGGGCTAATATTCCTAACATAAAAAGAACTTGTATAAATAGAGGAGACAAAATACACTATGGAAAAATGGGCAAAAAATATGGACAGTTCACAGAAAAAAAGTTCAAATGGCCCTTAAGTATATAAAAAGAAGCAACTTCACTCATAATGAAAGATGTAAATTAAAATACCACTGAGATACCATTCGTAACTTTTAGATTGGAAAGAATATGAAAGTCTGAAAACACACACTCTTCGCTGGGTGGGGTGGCTCATGCCTGTAATCCTAGCACTTTGGGAGGCCAAGGCGGGTGGATCACCTGAGGTCAGGAGTTCGAGACCAGCCTGGCCAACATGGTGAAACCCTGTCTCTTCTAAAAATACAAAAATTTGTTGGGCGTGGTGGTGCACACCTGTGATCCTAGCTTCTCAGGAGGCTGAGGCAGGAGAATTGCTTGAACCTGGGAGGTGGAGGTTGCAGTGAGCCGAGATTGCACCACTGCACTCCAGCCTGGGTGACTAGAGTGAAACGCCGTCTCAAAAAAACAAAACAAAACAAAACAAAAAAACATATTCTCTTGGTAACACTATTGGAATAGGAACATTCACTCATGGAGGAAATGCAAAACTATATAATCTCTATAGAGGGGAATTTGGCAATTTTACATTTGAATTTGCCTTGTGACCTAGCAATCCTGCTGTATTAGTCCTTTTGTATTGCTACAAAGAAATATCTGAGGCTGAAAATTTATAAAGAAAAGAGGTATATTTTTTTCATGGTTCTTCAAGCTGTACAAGCATGGCTGTTAGCATCTGCTCAGCTTTTGAGGAGGCCCGGGAAGCTTTTGGTCATGGTGGAAGAGAAGAGGAGCCAGCATATTACTGTACAATCATGGTTGTTAGCATCTGCTCAGCTTTTGAGGAGGCCCGGGAAGCTTTTGGTCATGGTGGAAGAGAAGAGGAGCCAGCATATTACTGTACAATCATGGTTGTTAGCATCTGCTCAGCTTTTGAGGAGGCCCGGGAAGCTTTTGGTCATGGTGGAAGAGAAGAGGAGCCAGCATATTACTGTACAAGCATGGCTGTTAGCATCTGCTCAGCTTCTGATGAGGCCCGGGAAGCTTTTGGTCATGGTGGAAGAGAAGAGGAGCCAGCATATTACTTGATGAGAGGGAGCAAGAGAGATACCAGGCTCTTTTAAGCAACCAGGTTTCACATGAACTCATTGCTACTGAGAAAGTGTCCAACCATTCACAAGGGATCCACTACCTTGACCCAAACACTTCCCCCTAGGCCTCATCTCCAACAGCGGGGATCATATTTCAACATGAGATTTGGAGGAGACAAGTACCCAAACTGTATCACCCACGTTTAGTAATGTCTCTCCACAGTAGATGATTTGCAAATAGATGGTGGTATACCCCTCCCATGGAAGCAGGAAAGTATGTTTGCATGTCTTTGCTTAGTCCTCTTCTTTTCTACTGACAGTGGGCTTGTTCATGTGTCCTGCTAGATCAAAATGCCAATAGCAAACTTGATGGCTGCAGAAGATTGAAAAGTGCTTGGGCATTGAGCTTGCTCTCTCTTGAAGTACTTGGAGCCCTGAGACTGCCATGAGACTGCCATGAGACCATATAAATGATCACTAGCTAGCCTGCTGGAGGATGAGAGGTCACTTGAGAAACCTTGGCTCACAGCCTGCTAATACTAGACACATGGATGAGTCTGTCTTAGACTATCCAGCTCCAGCTGAGTTGCCAGCTGACTTCAGTCACATGAGTGAGAACAACAGAAGGACAGCACTGAGCTCTGCCAAAATTGCTGACCTACAGAATCTTGAGCTAATGAATGATTGTTGTTTTATGCCATTAAGTTCTGAGGTAGTGTGCTATACATAGCAAAAG